CCTGCGGTGCTGATATTTCTTGATGCGGAGAAAGCATTTGATCGATTGAATTGGCAACTTTTATTGAAAATAATAGAAAAGATGCAGTTTGGAGAACATTTCACAAAATCTATTAAGGCAATATATCAGAAACAAACAGCGCAAATAATAATTAATGGTAGTTTAACAGATACTTTTAATGTAGAAAAAGGAACAAGACAAGGATGCCCTTTGTCTCATTATCGTTTATCTTGACTTTGGAATTTTTGTTAAGTAAGATACGTGGGTCGGACAAAATAAGTGGAATTAAGATTAGGCAGTATGACTATAGATTACGAGCATTCGCAGACGACTTGGTTGTTACTTTAACCCAACCATTACAGTCGGTTGTAGGTCTAATGGATATAATTAATCAATATGGACAAGAATCTGGACTTAAAATAAATGCAGGGAAAATGAAGATAATAACTAAAAATATGATTATAAATCAAAAAGAAGAATTAGAAAGACTAACAGGATTTGAAATTATAAAAAAAGTTAAGTACTTAGGGGTCTATATTATGACATCAAATGTGAAATTATTTAAGTATAATTATGATCCGTTGTGGCAAAAAATACAGAGAGAGATGGAAAACTGGAAAAAATTACAATTATCCTTGTTAGGAAGAATAGCAACAGTAAAAATGAATGTTTTGCCTAAGTTTTTGTTTCTTTTTCAAATGATACCAATACTTAAAAAAGATGAGAATTTGAAGATATAGCAGAAGGGTATTAATAATTTTGTTTGGGCAGGGAAGAGACAGAGAATAAAACAAAACATAATGCTACGTGAAAAAGGAGGTCTCAAAATGCCTAACTTAAGACTGTATTATGAGGCAACTGTCCTATCAGCAATGAGTGATTGGATGAATTTAACAGAAGAAAGAATATTGAATATTGAGGGATATGATTTGGTTTACGGGTGGCATGCTTATTTATTATATGATAAGAAAGTGGACAAGACTTTTAAAAGTCATATATTAAGGAATGCTTTATTGCGTGTCTGGAAAAAGTATAAGTATAAACTAAATGAGAAGTTACCATTGTGGGCAATACCCAGACACGCGATAGAGAATATAAGTGTAGAGCAAAGGCAGGATGTGATTACATATAAAGAGCTTCTTAACAAGGAAAGAGGTAAACTACAATTAAAATCTTTGAATCAACTAAGAGAAGAAAGGACAATTCAAACATGGTTTCAATATGTACAGTTGCAAGCTAGATGGAGAGAAGATCAGAAAATTGGTTTTCTGCAAAATGAGGAGAATTTGGTAAAACAGATTAGAGATCAAAGTCAAGTGCACATAAAAAGGTTGTATAATGCGTTGGTAGAAATAGATTCAGAAACAGAGTTAGTTAAGGACTGTATGATAAAGTGGGCACAAAATATTGAAGAACCAATAATGATGGAAACATGGGAAAAATATAGATTAGAAATGTGAAGTTCACACAAGCCCAAAATTTAAGAGAGAATTTTTATAAAATGTTTTATAGATGGCATCTGGATCCTAAAAAGCTAGCTTGTATGTATCCAAGTGTGCAACCTAAGTGTTGGAGATGTGAATGTGATGATGCCATGTATTATCATATATGGTGGACATGCAAAAAAATTAAGGCATTTTGGATAAAAATATGGTGGATTATTCAAAATATTCTCAAAAAGAAGATAAAATTTACTCCACAGTTCTTTTTGTTAGGCATAATTACAGATTGTACTGTTATAGAGACTAAGTTGATTTTAAATTTAATAACAGCAGCCAGACTCTTGGTGGCACAGTACTGGAAGAAGGAAGACTTGCATACTATTGAAGGGAAAATTGGGGGAAAATTGTTGTAATGATTGTTAAAACTTTTTAAATTAAAAAAAATGCATATTATCCATATCCATATCTTAGGTAGTGCTTATTTTGTTAAAATACCCAGTCCAGTCTTTCTCTTCCTGCTTTAGAGTTAATTTTCCATTCGGTTCTCTCTCTGTTCTAGTGGATTTGTAATCTTTCACTCACCGCTTTCCTTTGAAGGGGGAAAAATAATTCCCTCCCTCTTTCTCTCTGGAGTCCTCCTTTCTTCTTAAAAGTACTTTTGGGGAATTTAATTTAGGAAATCCCAGATCCAATACAGTTTCCCTTTCCACTTCTCTCTGTGCTTTCTTCGTTCCAGCTGTCACAGCTCTGGTTCAGCCATTAATGGCCGTCTTCTTCTCCACCTGTCAGGAAAATTTCTCCAGATCAAGCAAAATGGACTGCCACCCACTTGTAATCTATGGAGAGCCCTTCCTATCTTCGTCACCCCTACAGGGTGACTTTGGCACAGAAGAGACTCTAGGCAGGCAGAAATCAGTTGGGCTCTGCGGAGCTCTGCTCACTACAACTAGTGGTGGGATTGAAATAATTTAACAACTGGTTCTGTGCCCTAATGACCAACTGGGTAGGTGTGGCTGGGTGGGAATGTGACTGGGTGGGCATGGCCAACTTGACGTCACTCACGTCGAGGGGTGCTTCTCTTTGCCTGGCCTCTCGTAACCGTGGGGATGCTGCAATGGTTGTAAGTGTGAGAAATGATCATAAGTCACTTTTTTCAGTGCCATTGTAACTTTGAATAGTCACTAAATGAACTGTTGTAAGTCAAGGATTACCTGTACAAAAATACAAAAAGCTTCTTTGCTTACAAAAAACTGCCCTAAATATCAATCATTAGATTAGAAATACCTGCAAGCTGGAGTTACAAATCAGGCAGGGTGCCAGAGCACCTTGAGGAATTAAAATACCGTATTTTTTGGAGTATAAAATGCACTCCCCCCCCAAAAGAGGCTGAAATTTGGGTGTGTCTTATACTCCGAATGTAGCTTTTTCGAAGCTTTTTTTCAGCCATAATGAGGCACTAGCGAATGAAGCGATCTTCTGTGCTTTGCCTGCTCCCTCTGACTCTCAGATGTCTTTAGAAGCCTTTTTTCAGCCCTAACGAGGCACTAGTGAGTGAAGCGATCTCCATGCTTTGCTTGCTCCCTCCAACTCTCAGCTGTGCTTTAGAAGCTTTTTTTTTATCCCCAAGCAGGGGATAAAAAGCGTGCTCACGCTCAAAACCAGCACATTAATGTGCTGAAGGCTATTGCTTAACGCATTGTAAGCCGCCCTGAGTCTCCGGAGAAGGGCGGCATATAAATCAAATTTTTAAAAAAAAACAAAAAAAAAAAAACCAGACTAAGGATGCTAGCCAGATGAATACCTGGTAGGCAGATTTTTTCTCCTATTTTCCTCCCCAAAAACTTAGCTGTGTCTTATACTCTGAAAAATATGGTAGTTATGGTAGATAACTATCAGCAGCTAACTCTTGCTCATAAAGTGAAATGACCTCTCTTTAGCAGAGAGATCATTTAAGTTCTCCAGAAAGTGGGTGGGTATATTTGGGCTACAAAATGTCAAGCTAAAGAAACAAATTAATAAGTTATATAGGGAATCCAGGTTCAAGTCTCTGCCCTCCCAAGTTTGTCAAGCACGGCTGGTCTCAGTCACCTCACAAGATATCCTAAGGAAATCATCCAGATTTAAGGAAAGATCACATGCCCCCCAGAAAGGCAGTAAAAAAATCAGTGCCAAGCTTACTCCTGCCTCTTGGAAGTATACCCCTCCCCAGATAGACAAAGAAACCATGAGGCAGGAAAAAATCCAAACACAATACAAATAATTAAATCAAAACAGTTTAAATCCTTTTAAAACTAAAACACAAGCTTTGTCTGGCTCATTGCCAAAGCTCACACCCCAGGCAAGCTCAAGTGTAAACACTTGAGATAAGCCTAACTACAAAGAAAGCAATTAGCGCTAGAATGTAACAAAAGAGCAAACACAGTAGCTGTTGCTTGGTAAATCAATTACCAGAACAAATAAACACAGGAACTAGCCAGATTTCTGATTTCTCAACCCTGCTTCTTTTCAGGAACAGAGATTAACTTTTTCCTTCCAAACAAAGCCGAATAGGGAAAATTATCCCATCAATAAACACAGGATTAAATGTCACTAAGCACAGAATTAAACTTCAGCAAAAACAGTTTTAGACAAAACTCAGAAAGGGTATGTAAACTCACGTTTGAATGTCTATCTTTCTAGCTAGCCAAGAAGCCTTGCTGAATGTCACTCATCTTGGTTCCTTGTCATTAAAAGCTTCTTTCTGGCAGCTCTGCTTCATTATTCAATTATTTCTTCAAAGTGCTGATCGTTGCATCCTGGCTGGAAGAACTCCAACTGGGGAGTATTTCCTCCCAACAGCAGTGTAAAAAGCTTAAAAAACTCTTCTCCTTTAAGAAAGTCAAGCCCCAGCAAAGTACCAACAAAGAAAAAAAAAAAACTCTGGAGAAGCTCAGGCGATTGTAAATCTAGATGTACTGCCAAGAATATAATAAGGGTTAATGGAGAGGCAGTTTCTGTCAGCAGGGCAATAAAGATTAGGCTAGAAACAACACCCGAGTGATTCCTTCCTGTCTTCCTTATAGGATTAGCCTTGTAAAGCTGAAAATAACAAAAGGAAATTTCTTCCAACAACCGGTTCTCCGAACTGCTTAGATAGTTAACAACAGGTTCTAGTGAATAGGTGCAAACCAGTAGAATCCCACCCCTGACTATAACCATCTCATTGTGACATCAGCACAGAAGTCCCGTGTCTCCTACTATTCTTATGGTTAACTAGAGAGGGCTGACACAAATCTGAATATAACAACCTCGCTGGAGTTGTTCTCTAGGCACAGTAAAGATTGTTGTTTTCTATCAGAAAGGTTCAAATAATTTGGGGGGAGATTAAAACCAAAAAATAGGTTATTCCAGAACTGAAGCACTTAAAATGCTCTGTTTCAAGGTTGTTTTCTTTATCACTTGCAAGTTGCAACTTGAAATGGCCATTTTTAAGGTTGAAACAAAAGAACATTATTTAAAATAACTCTCATACTTAGAAAATTCGAATTGGTTAGTTTACATTCCATCTATGCAGGTCAAGGGAGATATTTAAAACAAGCTATTAAAACACTTCTTAAAATCAGGCTTTGAAATTTGGAAATAACTGAGATTAGCCAATTAGGATTGGAGTGGAGAAAGAAGGTATTACTAGTTTTAAAATCTTGCCTAGACTTTTGCCTAATTGTTTTATAGTTGTGCACTCCCACGTTATTAATTAGAAACAAATAAACAGGTTGGCTTTTCAAATACTCTTTTTCTTCAGTCTTTTCAATTAGGTTTTTTTTCCATTTCATAAATAGTGATAGCAATAGCACTTATACCATTTCATAATGCTTTATAGCATTCTCTAAGTCAGGGGTGTCAAACTCAATTTTATTGAGGGCTGCATCAGGGCTGTATTTGACCTTGAGGGGTCTGGGTAGGTGTGGCCAGCTTGAGGTCACTTGTGTTGGGGCACCTGTGGTGGCTCAAGTGCTCTGCCAGCAAAAACGGGCTCCCAAGTTCCATTTTCAGCTGCAACGGCATCCTGCAACTCTTTGCCAGTGAAAAAGGAGCTCAGGAGGGCAGCCCAAGCTCTGTTTTTGCTGGCTGTGGCACCATGGGATGGTCCTTTGCTGTTTCCAGGGTGGCCCCATGGCCAGATCTAAACAGCCCATGGGCCAGATTCGTACCAGGGGAAGCGAGAGCCATTCAAGATGCAAACCTCCCTGGCACCAAGATCATCTGCCTGCTTCAAATACAGGAAGGAGGGGCAGTGTGCAGCTGAGTGTCATTCAAAAACTCCCACTTGAAAGTCAGAACAAGAGAAAGAAGAAGGAGAAGAAGGTTTGTTGTGAAAAGAGGGAAAAGAGAGGGTAGAAGAGCAACCCCAAATGTAATTAAAATGTCTTATTTTTATGCTTTTGTTAGAAAAAATATGTCTATGTATGATCAATTATGGATAAGAGAATGTATATTTACAATCTGTGTATAAGAAATAGAAATAAAAAACTTTTTTCAAAAAAAAGAGAAAGTCAGAATGCCTGTTCAGAGGAAAGCCCGCAAAAACAACCCCCTGAAGACACCGCACTGAGAAATGGAGAGGCCATGGAGTTTTGCCTCATCGCAAAATCAGGGGAAGGAATTCCAGCGTCACCAGGAGAGGAATCGGGCCCATCCGAGAGCGACCCTGAAGATGGCCCACTGGTAAGCGAACCAATTGAGCCATTCACCCTGCCCCTAAGACTATTTGTCTCCAGCTGGGGGAAAAAAGTGAAAATCTCAGCCCTCTTGGACTCAGGGTGCACCCGGTGCTTGATTAGCCCAACCCTGGTGGAAAATTGGGCATACACTTGCGGAAGCTAAAAAAACCGCACTGCATTCTGCCAGTTAGATGGGTCAGTCGCAGGGGGGGTGGAACTGGCCATTTCTGCTACAGAACCCCTGGACATAGCAATGGGGACTCATGATGAGAGACTCACTTTCATTGTGGCACCTGGAATGGAATGGCCACTGGTTGAGGAAGTGGAACCACAGAGTGAACTGGAAGCAGGGGACTCTAAGATTTCAATGGGGAGTGACTGCACCTGATGGCCAAAGGGAGGAACTGTGGGGAGTTCCAAACAAAGAAGCAATGATGGTGGAAAAGCTGCGCCAACCCAGGGCATCTCCACGGAGTACAAGGACCTAGCTGAGGTTTTCAGCAAAGAAGGCTCCAATGAGCTCCCCGCCCCACCCCACAGAATGTGCTATCGAGATCCGCCCAGGGATCAAACTACCAAAACCAAAAATGTATAGCATGTCCCCCACGGAACTTGAAGAGTTGAGAGCCTTCAAAGATAAAAACCTGGCCACGGGTTTAATTGAACTCACATGATCAAAAATCACCACCCCGGTGCTATTTGCACCTTTGTGTAGATTATAAAAATTTAAACACTGTGAGTGTGGAGAATGTGTACTCCATCCCCCTCATGAAAGACATGTTAGCCTACTTCTCCAAAGGATTTCCCCCCCAAAAAACTGGACTTAAGAGAGGCTTACTACCGAATCAGGATTAGGGAAGGGGACGAATGGAAAACAGCTTTTAACACTCCTTTGGGGTGTTACCAATTCAAAGTGCTCCCATTTGGATTACAAGGCATCCCTGCCATGTTTATGGAATTGATAAACGAGGTGCTCCATGAGTATAAAGGGGTTCTGGTGTACTTAGATGACATTTTAATATACACTGAGACAGAAGCAAAGTACTGAGACAAAAGCCAAGCACAAAAGCCAAACATTTGTCTGAGTGGTCCTAAACAAACTCTGCACTGAGAAACTTTATGCAAAACTTTCCCAATGTGAATTCCACAAAAATAGAATTGACTACCTGGGATATAGAATTTCCCAGGATGGCATGGAAATGGACCCAGGGAAAGTGCAAGCAGTGATCGACTGGGCTCCACCACCACCCCACACCTGCAAACAACTACAAAGCTTCCTGGGGTTTGCACATTTTTACTGGCAATTTGAAAAAATTGCACTCCCCATCACTAACCTACTGAAAGCAAAGAGGGAGACGGGACATAAACTGAAACCAAAGCAGCCCATAAACTGGACCATGGAATGCCAAGCAGCATTTGATAGACTGAAACAATTGTTCTCAGCTGAACCAGTCCTAAAACACCCAGATCCAGAACAGCCGTTCATCATACAGGCAGACACCTGTGACATAGCAGTCAGATCTGTCTTACTCCAAGAAAACGAACAAGGCCAACTGCAGCCCTGTGTATACACATCTAAAAAACTAACTGACACAAAATAGAGATGGGCTATCTGAGAGAAGGAGGCTTTTGCAGTATGGTGGGTTCTCCTTAGTTCGCTGGGCTCAATACTTCAAACGTTTCAATTTCAACCTAAAATACTTCCCTGGGGGAAAAATATTTTAGCAGACATGCTATCCAGAAAGCCTCAGTTGAATAGCGGGAAACCTGAGGTGATCAAACCCCTGCTCCCAGCCTCTCAACTGACAGCCAAAGTGATGACCAGGGCGCAAGCTAAACAAGAACCACTAACAGACAATGCTACCACTCAGGCATTTAAAAAAGCATTACAAATCGATAAATGATTCCTAGCCCATAAAAACACCTGTTTAATTAAAGATAACTTAGCTTGGGTGGGAGGAAAATTATACGTTCCAACTACTCAGAGAATTCCTCTCATGCAAACATGCCACGATTCCAAACTGGCTGGTCACTTTGGTTTCATGAAAACCCTACACCTTATCAAAAGGCAATTCTGGTGGCCATCTCTTAAGAAAGACATTGAAAGCTATGTAGCCAGTTGCCCTATCTGTGCAGCAGCGAAGCAGAGACAAGGAAAAAACCCCAGTTCTTTACAGACAGTAATCAAGCCTTCAGCATCCTGGAGAGAGATCTCTATGGATTTTATTGTAGAGTTACCTGAAAGTGGGGGGAACACTGTTATCTGGGTTGTAACAGACCTTTTCTCCAAGCAGACCCACTTCATTCCCTGCCAAAAAATCCCCACTGCTAAGGCACTTGCCAAACTGTTCCTGCAACATATGTATTGGCTACATGGGCCCCCACAAAGGATAATATCTGATCAGGGGGTCCAATTCACTTCAAAGTTTTGGAAGGCCATTTTGGACCTTCTCGGAACTGGCCAGGGCCTAAGTTATAGTCATCATCCTCAAAGTAACGGTTCGACAGACAGACTGAACTCAATTCTGGAACAATATTTAAGGTGCTTTATTAACTACCAGCAAGATAACTGGACTGACTTCCTGCCTTTTGCAGAAGTTGCCTATAATAACTCTGTGCACTTTAGCACTGGCTTCACCCTGTTTTGAATTGCCACTGGCCAGGACTTCATCCCAATGCCAGAACTACCAGTAGAAGAACCAACCATACCATCCCTTAAGGAGTGCATACAATTACAAAACACCTGGCCAGTAGTGAGACTAGCCCTGAAGGAGGCTAGAGTCACTTTTAAAGCTAAAGCTGACAAAAGAAGGACAGAACCAAACCCATTTAAAATAGGTGTTAAAGTTTACCTGTCCACAAAATTCCTACAATCCTTACAACCCTCAAAGAAATTGGGACCCAAATTCATAGGGTTTTTCCCAATCACTAGAATCATCAACCCAGTAACAGTAGAATTACCACTCCCCAAGACACTTAGACAGGTCCACTCAGTTTTTCACTGCAGCCTGTTGAAACCCGAAATTACATCCCCTTTAAGGCCCCCAGAAGACACTCCTCTGACCCCTATTATGGTCGAAGGGGAACAACACTTTGAAATTAAAGAGATCCTTGATTCCTGCACCCACTGGGGTTCAATTCAATACTTAGTCTCATGGAGACATTTACCTCCCTCACAAAATTAGTGGGTGGCTAAGAAACATGTTAGGGCCCCTGCATTGCTGACTAAGTTTCACTCAAAATATCCTAACCAACCAAACTAACTTTCTATGATGACCATCTTTCTGTTCTTTTTTACAGGTAATCCCCTCATTTTTTTGAAGGGGAGGCAGCACGTCAGATCCCTATCATGATACTGCCATTCAAGTGGGGAGGGAATTCTCCTGGATTCTTTTACTCGTTTATTGCTCTCATCCTGTTTCCTATGTATCCTGTAATTCCCTAGTTTATAACTTTTACCCTATTACCTATTCTGCTCTGTGCTTTGATTTACCTTGGGGAATGTATAAGGTGGGAGGGCCATCTGTTTTCTATCAGTTTGGAAGCCTTACAGAAGAAGCACATGTGAACAACTCCTTATCTCATTCTCAGGACAACCGTTTCCACAATATCTTCGCACCTGTGTATTGGCTCATTCAACATCAAACTAAGGGGAGGGGTTTCTAACCACTTTATCCTAATGGAATTGCCTGGGGGGGGAGGTGTGAGCTCAGACCCTGCTTTGCATTATCTTTCATTCACTTCCTTCCAATAAAAGTTTCTTTGTTAAATGCTAAAGTTTCAAGAGTCTATGCTTTCTTGAACAGGAAAGAGAGGCAGGACCTTACACTGCGTGAGGCAAAGCGCCCCTCAACATGAGTGATGTCGAGTTGGCCATGCCCACCCAGTCACATGCCTACCCAGCCACACCTACTCAGCCGGTCATTAGGGCAGAGTACCAGTTTATTTATTTATTTATTTATTTATTTATTTATTTATTTATTTATTTAATTTGTATACCGCCCTTCTCCAGCAGGACTCAGAGCGGTGAACAGCCAGAATAAAACAGAACATACAAAATTTAAAAACAGTTTAAAAATAATTAAATATTTTTGGCCACAATTTAAAACAACCCAATTAAAATCAATTCAATTTAACCGAAAACAGTGGGATCAAGCCAGCCCGCCTAGGTGAAATAAATAAGTTTTCAGGGCCCAACGAAAAGTCCGGAGGTCTGGTATTGTGCGTATCTCTGGGGGGAGGTTGTTCCAGAGGGCGGGCGCTGCCACAAAGAAGGCTCTCCCCCTGGGGGTTGCCAGCCGACATTGTCTGGTGGACGGCACCCTGAGGAGGCCCTCTCTGTGCGAGAGTACTGGCCAGTGGGAGGCTATTGGTGGCAGAAGGCGGTCTCGTAGATACCCCGGCCCTAAGCCATGGAGCGCTTTAAAGGTGGTCACCAACACCTTGAAGCGCACCCGGAAGACCACCGGGAGCCAGTGCAGCTCGCGCAGGAGAGGTGTCACATGGGAGCGCCCGGTCGTTCCCATAATCCCTCACGCGGCCGTATTCTGGACCAGCTGGAGCCTCCAGGTGCACCCCAGGGGGAGCCCCATGAAGAGAGCATTGCAGTAGTCCAGGCGGGAGGTGACGAGTGCCTGAGTGACCGTGTGTAGGGAGTCCCGATCCAGAAAGAGACGCAACTGGCATATCAGGTGAACCTGATAAAAAGCCCCCCTGGCCACGGCCGTCATATGCTCTTCTAAAGACAGCCGTGCATCCAGGAGTACGCCCAAGTTGCGAGCCCTCTCCGTGGGGGCCAGTGATTCGCCCCCAATAACCAGTGATGGCACCAGCTGGCTATATCGGGATGCCGGAAGCCACAGCCACTCGGTCTTGAACTCTCAAATAAGTTGTTAACTTATTTGAATCCAACCACTGATGTTATGCTATAGACAAACAGTATTATAACATTTAAAAGTAATGTTCCTATATCCTGCATTTGACAATGAAAAAGTTTAAAAAGTATAAAATCCAGGCAATAACTTCCTAATGAATACAAGTTGCCTAGTATTGAAAATAGATAAAAGTTGCCTAATATTATATAGCCATTTGATTTGGCAACATCTCAATATGATACCTTATATTTTATCAATTTTGCTCTCTGACCAATGTTAAGGGTAGACAAGGTTTCAGAAAAAAACCTGGATGAACATTTGCTATGATGCATGTTTTTGCTTTATCTCCAAGTGAATCCTGTTTAAAGACATGACTACTCCATAATAATTTTAAAAATAACATTTAATATACTATTTCCAATATTACTTTTATCTAAATAATGTTATTAACAATTATAAATGAAAGAAATTATAGCAATTACAAACTGCAAAAGATATAAAAATGATGAGTGTAAAAAAGAAAAAAAGGGAAAGAAAAAGTAACTTCCCACCTCATTCTAGCAAGTAAAAACAACTTATTGCCATCTCTAAATACAACATAATTTCTCTTCTCTGTATAGCCGATCAATTAAGTAAAAAAGAAGAAAAAAGAATCCAAAAGTTTTCTTGATCACTGTTAGCAAAAGTCCAGTAAAGGCAACCAGATATAACTGTTTTCATCTTTAGCCCTAATCAAATAGGCCAACCTTACTTTCCTTCTCTGAGTTTTTAAAAATATTCTTTAACCACTTGTTTAAAGTTTCGGGTAGGGTTGCCAGGTCTGCTTCCAAAAAATAGCGGACAAGCGGGGAGTGGTGGTGGTGGTGGTTAAGTAGTAAATTTTTTTAAAAAAAAATTACAATTAAATTATATATTTTCTTACAAACATTTTAACACATATTAAAATAATTACTTCAAAACTTTACTTACAATTCAAAACATCAAATATATTATAATAATATGTAAAATATTAAATTACATTTTACTTTGCTGTTGTGTGTATTTTTATTTGACTGTGCAGCTTTGATCAATTCTTTGTGTTTAAGGAATAATTCTTTAATTTCAGTATAACGTTGAGAAATATTAAAAAATATACAAAGTCCACTTCGAACTGATACAAGCAGTCGGTTATGTTCGTCAGTCCACAAATTTCCCATGAAAATTCGTTCAACGTTTGCATTTGATACCGGAATTGATGCATAATACCGGAACAGTTTCAGTAAACTCGGAGCTGGCTCTTTCTTGAAAAAGTATGTCCACTTATCAAGGGATGAATCACCCTGCAGATGAACATAAACTTCTTCTAAGGCAGAAATTTCATCGAAGAGAGTATTGGGTGGAAGTTCTTCTCGCCATGGTGATAATAACCAGATGTTCGTCATTTCTTCTAAAGTTGGAGGATTATTGCAATCAATTAGATTGAAACAATTTAGCGTCTCATATACTGAATCGGTGAAATTATACCACTTTTCTAGGTACGCAATGGCTCTTTGATACACGTTGATGGCTTCTTTCTTGAACTTTTGCACGGCATTCTCAGGCAAATGTTTTTTACGTAAGGCAAATAAAACTTTCATTCAAAAAAACTGCTCATCGTATTTTTTTTTTGCAAAGAATCATGCAGCTTACACATGATAATGTGAAGATCACATGCAAGAATTTTCTTGCTTTCCAGCTTCAGTAGGGTGTCTTGCATTATTGACATGAAGAAGTGCGTGAAATATAAATACGATTCTGAAATTGTTGGTTCATCGTCCTTTGTGAGTTCATTTTCCTGATCCAAAATAAAGTTCCAGATAACCTTATGGTACTCATCAGATCCAAGAGAAATAAAATACGATTTTAGAGGTATCCAGTTTAAAAGAAGTCTTTCGACCACTTTAACAAACTTAACCAACATGTTGGAACATGGCGCAAAACTTCATGGAATTCTGACTCGGAAAACTCAAAAAATGATTTCAACTCTTCTCGTTTCTTCACAGAATTCAAAAATTCAGCAAAAACCTTCAGCACTACATTTTCGATATCAAAAGATAACTGCTTTAATGCATTTTTTGCGCTGTTGTGTAAAATGTGATTATTGCAATGAGCAGCTACAATATTGTCATTTTCCAGCAATAATTTTTGGTAAACAGATTTGTTCACTCCATAATTGACCAATGCATTATCTGCTGAGTAAGCTGGAACATTATTTATTTCCAATTCGTTATCACTAAGAACTCGACACAGCTGATTTTTTATTGATGTAGAATCTTCGAAAGAATCCTCATAAAAGTCTAAAATTTTCACACACAGTCTGTGATACACAGGAAATGCCTGTACCCAGAAAATAATTGACAGAGAGTTGTGAGATAAGACAAGAATATAGTTTATTTAATTATTTCTTTGCAAAGGTCCCCCCCAAAGTGAGGGAGCAATTACCATCCTTTCTCGCCGTCTTTTATACAATTTTCAGGTTACATCTTACAGGATACAAGCATGTCCCTTGAGTACAATTTCAGACTTTATATAATACATGAACACATGATATTCCCATTATGGAAAGTCCCCATAATTCCAGTACATAAAAATACCCTACTTAAAAATATTGCTTACACGTGTATATCAGCATAACAAGTAATATCAGCATATACGCACTTCCCTTTCTTAACGAGGTCAAGCCGACCTGGACATCTCAAGAACACAACTTCCTCTAAAAACACAGGAACCACACATCCTGTTCTCACACTCCTTAAACTGTCAGCTAAATTATATACTCAGGTTATACAGAGTAAAATAAGGCCTTAACATGATTTTAAAATGGAGTAACTTAGGCTATATTGTTTTACAGGAATAACCCTAATTTCTTTATTTCTCACAATCCCTCCTTCTTCTCTTTATCAGTTTTATTCCTGGAAACTATGTATATCTTGCAACATTATAGAAACCTCTCTTCTTCCCAAGCCACCATGCGAGTCTTCAACTAATTTCTTTTGCTTCTTTATTTGGCAGCAACACTTCCAAACATTACAGCAAAGAGGTATACATTTAATACAAAGACAGGAAATAAGACATATAACTACAATCAATAATATGCCTACAAACAATTCCCTTAACCATGTAAAGCTAGGTAACCATGAAGTTAATATACCCCAAACTTCTTTGAAAGCTGTATTCTCAGTTACATATGTTAAATGTGTAGTAATATTGTGTAATGTTTTTATCTTAGATTCTATAAATTGAGACCTATCGGATACATTGAAACAACAAAGGCCGTGGAACTCCTCGCACCCATGACCCATTCTTAATAGCATATAATCTATAGCCACTCTATTTTGTAATAAGGATTGTCTTATTTCTCCCATCTCATCAGCTAATGCAGCAATAGCAGAAGATGTTTCATTTATACTCTTAGCTAAAGCACAAGCTAGGTGTCCAAGTTGATTCTGACTATATTGTGTAGACATCCATGGAAACATTCCCAAAAGTCCAGCCTGAACCTTATTCAGTACTACCACTTCATCATTACAATTAGCATCAAATTCCAATTGTGTAGCATCTCTTTTACCTCTATAAATCCCCTTATATGTTCCTTCTCCAACATGGTCATATGTTTCTATCGGAGTAATATGCCATTTAGTAGGATTCTTAGGAGCATATATAATCAAATGAGGTTCCCCTTCAGGCCTAGGAATTTCTCCATTTCCATGTCCCTCTACACTTTCAACACCTCCATGCGTAGTTACTTTAGTCATTACTTTTTTCTGAACACGGTCAGTATGATACAGACTTGCATTCATCATCTCATAATAAAACTCTGTTTTATAATTTATATCTTTAAAATGTGCAACAGCCATAACAGTAGTTAAACGGCCAATAGTACAA